TTTGCCTGAAGAGAAAATAAGCGGAATGACTGACTGATTGACTGACTGATTGACTGACTGACTGACTGACTGATGGACGGACAGACGGATGGATGGATGGATGGATGGATAAACGGATGGATCACATAAACAGATGGATGGATAATTTAATGGATCGATGGCCGGATCATTTGATGGATGGATGGATCAAATAAATGGATGGAAGAAAAGAAGTCAGATTTGCTGAAGGGTTGATGAATGGATAGGCATATCAAATGGGATGGATAGAAGGATGGATGGATGGATGGATAGATGGATGGATGGATAGATAGATAGATAGATAGATAGATAGATAGATGGATGGATGGATGGATGGATGGATGGATGGATGGATGGATGGATGGATGGATGGATGGATGGATGGATGGATGGATGGATGGATGGATGTACTGGTGGATGAATAGATGGATGTCTGGATGAATGGATGGATGCGTTGGTGGATGGATAGATGGATGGATGGATGGATGGATGGATGGATTGATGGATGGACAGGATGGAAAGATGGATATGTTGGTGGATGGATGGATGGGTAGATGGATGGATGGGTGGATGGATGGATGGGTGGATGAATGGATGGATGGATAGATGGGTAGATGGATGAATGGGTGGGTGGATGGATGGATAGATGGATGGGTGGATGAATGGATGGATGGATAGATAGGTAGATGGATGGATGGGTGGATAGATGGATGGGTGGATGAATGGATGGATGGATAGATAGGTAGATGGATGAATGGATGGGTGGATGGATGGGTGGATGGATGGATGGGTGCATGGATGGATGGATGCATGGATGGGTGGGTGGATGGATGGACGGATGGATGGATGGATGGACGGATGGGTGGGTGGGTGGGTGGGTGGATGGGTGGATGAATGGATGGATGGATAGATAGGTAGATGGATGGATGGGTGGATGGATGGATGGATAGATGGATGGGTGGATGAATGGATGGATGGATAGATAGGTAGATGAATGGATGGGTGGATGGATGGATGGATAGATGGATGGGTGGATGAATGGATGGATGGATAGATAGGTAGATGGATGAATGGATGGGTGGATGGATGGGTGGATGGATGGATGGATGGGTGCATGGATGGATGGATGCATGGATGGGTGGGTGGATGGATGGACGGATGGATGGATGGATGGACAGATGGGTGGATGGATGGGTGGGTGGATGGATGGATGGATGGATGGATGGATGGATGGGTAGGTAGATGGATGGATGGATGGATGGATGGATGGATGGGTGGATGGATGGGTGGATGGATGGATGGAGGGATGGGTGGATAGGTAGATGGATGGATGGATGGATGGATGGATGGGTGGATAGATGGATGGATGGGTGGATAGGTAGATGGATGGATGGATGGAGGGATGGGTGGATGGATGGATGGATGGGTAGGTAGATGGATGGATGGATGGATGGATGGATGGATAGATGGATAGGTTGATGGATGGATGGATGGATGGATGGATGGATGGATGGATGGATGGATGGATGGATGGATGGATGGATGGATGGATGGATGGATGGATGGATCATTCTACAGTCTGCAAAATCCTCTTTTAGTAAAAATTTATCCTGCCAGCTCTGTTCCCTTATCCTCAGAGCAATTTACTCAGTGTTTGTCTCAGCACACACAAACACACACACCCACACACACACACTCCTGACACCTGTACGGTCGTGTTAATCAGCTGCTGACTCCTCTGACATGTTGCCATAGCATCAGCTGCTCTGAAGATAAATCCGACTGTAACCTTTGACCCCAATCACTGACCTCTGAAAGGTGTGGACGTCCAGCCTCTCAGACGTCCGGTGTTTATAGAGCTCCTGCACTCTGGCCGGATCTCTTTGATTGACACATGTCTTCTTATATGACAGGCCAGACCCCGCCTACAGAGAGGAGGAAGCTCCGCCTCTTTACACAACAGCCTGATGAGGAACAGCATCTTCCAGCTGATGATCCACACACTCGACCCTCTCAGTGAAGGTAAAGCACACACACAAACACACACACACACTCCATTTGCTTTAGATCAATGATCTGAATTACAGCATTATTGAATTATTTAAGCTTAGCATTGAGCTGTAAATTACATTACATTTTTAATAAACTAGAAATAATAGATAAATAGATATAAATAAATAGTTTATAAATAGAGGCATGTTAATACACAGCTGTCAATCAATCCGGTGGGCGGGGAAATCACACTACTACGTCACGTCAGCCTCAAAATGGGAGGGATTTGGATCCTATTTTAACGTCAGGAAATGTAAAAAAGAGACTTATTGTGTTTATATCAGCCCAACATGACTGTGGACACACTATACTACACACACTTCTGTCCAAACTGCTTCCAAAAGTCGATTTTGCATGATAGGCGCCCTTTAAATGTGCAAGTTTAATATGCAAATCCTGTCGTGACATTGTGATGCTTGTTCAGATGTGAAGGTGTGATGGAGCTTGCTAAAATGACGCCTTTGTCGCCTTAACAGGATGCATCTAACACATTGTTTGCGTGTGTTCACACATTGGTTCGCTGGTAAATCACACTTCAAATATTAGCATATTTTTGCCATGCTAATAATTGCAGTGGGAAAATGTGAAGAGTCCTGAGTTAATTGTTGAACTTTTTGTCATCATTCATTTGTTTTGCTGCAACTCTTATTTAAAGGAAAGGGTGAGCGTCAGAACAGAATCCAGTGTCAAAACTATCTTACATGTTATTATCATCTTAGTGTGCAATCTTATAATGTACAGAAAAGTCAAGATTTAAGGAGACCTATTATGCCCCCTTCTAGGATTTAAATGCGTCTCTGCTGTCTCTAGAGTGTGTGTGTTTGAGTTTGAGCTGAGGATAGTACACGGATAATGTTCTCCAGCTCTCTGAAACTGACCCTTTCAGGCTTTAATCCTAATTGTGGTGTTTTGGTGACTGTCCCTTTAAATGCAAATGAGATTGTGCTCTATAAAAGAGGGTGGAGCTATAAAAGCCTATGTGCCCAGTGTTGTGAGTGCTGGTCAGGTGTGCATGTGTGCTTCTGTCAGTCTATGTCGCTCCTGTCGCTGTTCATCTAAAACTCCACATCTATAATCCTCTTATGGTGCGTTCACACCAGACATGACATGCCTAAATAAATCGGAATATTCACACGTAAGTAGAAGCGTGAACATTTTGAGTGTACCCGCAATAGAGCAATAGATGTGGATTCGCATCATGAGCCGGGCTTCTGTCTGCCTGGTGACTCTAGCTTCGTTGCTAAATGGTTAACATGGATTTTATTGAGAGAATAGCTGTGTTTCTGTGCTTTCGGAAGGCTGAAAAACAGCGCAGATTCGTTCGGTGCCGTGTCTGAGTCCACTAGATCCATTCAGAGGTAAAGCAGCTCTGTGAGTTCATTAACTCCTCCAGAATTTTACCTGGATGATGAAGGCTTTCAGCAGTGCTTCAGACTGAGCAGAACCCAGTTTGACGAACCGACGCAATCTCACCGCAATTCGTAACTTTTTGATTTAGTGGCTAATTCGTTTGAATTCGTATGATCTAATTCGAACAATTTACTACAATTCGCTCATCGCCCAATAACAGTTGGGATTAGGGGTGGGGTTAGATGCCACGCCTCCTTTTTAAAATCGAACATTTTCGTACAAGTCAACTCAACATTCTTACGTTCCCTCGTGAGATCAGGCTGGATGAACTGTTGTCCGGTGTCGGCAAGAGGATTTCCCCTCAGGACACCAACAACAGGCGCTACGTCATAAGCATGCCCCGACTAGAGCAAGCTCCTGATTGGTTAACATGGCGCCAATGTTCTCTAAGATTTTCCAGCTCGAGCGATTTGCGCAAACACAAACACACAAAACGCAAAAAGTCCTGAAACTATTTAGCCCATCTGGAGGTGTTTCATTGTAAATAAACAGTTAAACGGTCAGTATTATGTTTATTATTATTATTATTATTATTTACAAAATAAAAAATAAAAAGTATACATTAGCAGCAAATAAATTAGCAAACAGTTCAGCTTATTAAAATTAATAGCTATTATAAAGAAACAGAATCAAGTTATTAAATCTCATTAACCTTTTCTCCACTGTATAACTACATACATAACAAGTGAAGTTTATTTATAAACTAATGTCGAGAGGATCGGGTGTTTATGATTGATCACAGCCGGTCCTGCATTACTCAATTCATGATTGACCAATCAGATGATCCCTAAGCCACTATAAACACCCTCAGCTCCATATCACAGCCATCTTCATTTTGAAGAATCCCCCCTTCCACCCCTACTCCTCCTCCTTTCCTAGATGGGTGGCACGGCGGCCCAGTGGTTAGCACTGTTGCCTCTCAGCAAGAACGTCTCTGGTTCTAGTCCATACCAAGCTAGCTGACGTTTCTGTGGGGAGTTTACACGTTCTCCCCGTGCTCCCCGGTTTCCTCCCACCATCCAAAAACAGGAAATATGACACGTTTTCCATGTTAGCTGAGTAGCAGTATATATCGAAAGTAAGATATATGAACAAATAACCTGATTTTCCACACGTGGAGCATGAGCACACACCGCTTTACATCTTATAAACACAACCAAGACTTAAGAATACCCTCTGGACCTGCCCTTTAAAGCATGGTAAAACTCAACTGTTCAACTGTGTGGTCTTGTAAAGCGAGCTTCTTCATTAAAAAATAAAGGTAAAAAGCGCAGTGCTGTTTTACATCTCGTTTTATTTTGCATGCACTTTGGATGGGGTGTTTTCAACAGTTGCGCTCTCCTCTTTCTGTTCTCTTCTTGTCTTCACGGTGGAGCTGAACACTGTTTTTCCTGCTTATATTCTTCTTTTCATCTCTTTCTCTCTGTCTGTTTCTCTTCCTCTGTTTTCCTCTGTTTGCTCTCCTCAGAATTCGCTGACTCTGGTGAGTTATTCTCTAAATCTCGTTGTCATCACAGATGCACACACACACACACACACACACACACACACACACACACACACACACACACACACACACACACACTGAACCCTCTGTCTGCTGTCTGCACTGCTGTTTGTTCAGTCCCGCTGTGTGTGTGTGTGTGTGTGTGTGTGTGTGTCTGTGTGTGTGTGTGTGTGTGTGTGTGTGTGTGTGTCTGTGTGTGTGTGTGTGTGTGTGTGTGTGTGTGTGTGTGTGTGTGTGTGTGTGTGTGTGTGTGTGCGTTTCTCTGAGGTTTCCATGTGTTTTGTCTCTTTTCAGTGTGTGTTTGTGCTAAAGCTTCACCTGTACCCCCCCCGTCTCTCCATTACACCACTGCAAAAGCACATTGACATACTGTGTGAAGAATGACTTTAAAAGCTCATAAAGCTTCACTTTAGTTTTGTTTTCCTTTAATTTAATATATTTATATTTTAATTTTTTACTTATTGTTTTTTAATTGAATTCCTTTTGTTGTGTTTTACATTAATTTAATGCAACATTTTTATAATAAATTTTGTTTTTTATTTTTTATTGGATTATCATGATTTATTATTTATATATTATATATTTTTAATTGAATTCACTTAGTTTTATATTTATTTAATTTAATTAATATATAATGAATTAAATTTATTTTAACTATATATATATATATATATATATATATATATATAAATATATATATATACTAGTTTAGAATAATTTTTTTTGCTTTACATTTATTTTTTTATAATTAATTTTATAAATTAATTTATTTAATTCTATGTTTTTATTGGATTATCTTATATGTTTGTTTATTTTATTTTTTATATAGTATTTTAGTTAATATAATAATATAATAATATATTATATAATATTTAATTATAATATTTTATTTTAATTAATTTAGCTTTGTATTTCATTTATTTTAATAATTTACAATTCATTTAATTTATTTTAACTTCATTTAACATTTGTATTTTATATATTTATTTTTTATTTCATGTTTTTGAATGTTATATATATTTATTTATGCATGTATATATTATTTAAGATTTTTTATTGAATTCATTTTATTTTTTGTTTTGCTGTTTTTTAATTAATTGCTTTATTTAAATGTAATTATTTCATTTTTTTAAGTATTAATGTTTGTACTTCAAACAGATTTTTGTTCAGTTATGCTTTTAATTGTTCCTTTTTTTGCTCTAAATTAGTATATTTTTTATTTTATTTTATTATTATTACTATTAATAATAAAAGTATTATTATTATTATTATTATTACTACTACTACTACTACTACTACTAACAATAATAATAATACTATTTATTTTGAAGAAATGTTATCGGACATTTATAAAATAAAACAAATATTAACATTTACCCAATAAATCTAGTAAATCGAGAGAAACTGGACATCAGTGTGCTGAATATATGAGCAATATCACATGAGTAGCAGTGCCATATGGCTGTATATCGGTACTGGTGGGAGGCGTGCATTGCCTTATTGTCCCATCAGTGCCCATAAACATCCATACAGCACCACTACAAATGTGATATTGCGTTTATACAACAGTTCGACTGTATAATCGTGTATATAAAAAAGAAAATCAAAAAGTCTCTTTTGTATGAGGAACTACTTTCTTCCGCCGTTCATTCACATCTGCAGCTGACGTCAGAACACTGTAGAGCTAGTGTTTGACTGATTCTCTAGCGTAATGTCTAAAGTGATGATAAAACAGCTGATTTTGCTCACATTGTAGATTATCAGGCTGAACAGCATGAAATGCCATCAGTCTACAGAGATTTCCCAGTGTTTCTCTGCTGCAGTCGGGAGATCACAATAATTAACCCAGGAAAAAGCCAAAGCAAACACTAGCAGATTACTGTGGTATAAATACAGCACAACATACAGAAGAGAGAGATCAACTTGGAATTTATTCATCTGTTTAATAATGATTTGATCAGCTGCAGTTTAAAATTTACGCAGTTTTTCCCCCTAAGGGCTTATCATGCGGTCTCTGACGCCATCTTGTGGTGTCAACCGTCTTTGCTCTGCTCAGTATGACAGGCGAACATGCTGAATCACAGAAATGATCTATATTTTAAAATAGGCACTGTCCTTATAAATAAACTGCATAGCTTCACTCTAAACAGCTACATTATTGACTAAAAAAGCCTCATAAGTACATGATGTTGTCCATTAGCAGCAATATTTGTCAAACTGAAGTGAGTTTATTGATCTGCTGTCACGCTATGTTGGCGGAGTTATACAGAAGGGTGAGGAGGCTGTAGGAGTTCTGTTATAGCAGAATATCTCACAGCTATCAGCCAATCAGATTCGAGATCCAGACAGAACTGTTGTGAATATATAT